TAAAAAGGTATCGGATGAATTAGTGGAGGCTCTAATCCAGAACACACGAAAATGCCTTTGTTACACAGAAAAATTCGTCGGATCAATGAAGGTCTTCAAGTTCTCCCTTTGCCCGCTTAACATCCTCCCTTTTCATGGTTGTGTTTCCAACTTATGGTCCCTGCTAATTTTTTATGATCACACAGGCATTGGTGTCTATTCATCACTTCACATATTTCTTAAGATGGAAAGTGATAACGCTGACAGGACCGCCGCAGTGAGGACGATCATTTCGCTCTTCTTCTAGTGTTGTGTGAAGTATGGAAAGAGATTAGTTCTCCGTAGAGGAGCGATTTTAATGGAGTATGTTCGGCCCGCTCTGTGGAAAGTAGTGCAATATTAGGTGCAATCACAATAGAGCTTGTATTTCGGCTTTTAGTAATGTTATAGTCCCCATGTCCGTCTTTGTTGAAACCTCGGCATTCTTCATAAGTGTTCGTGTTACTGCTGTGCCATACAGGTTTTTTATGGTGGAATTTTTATTATGCCTGACGTTTCGACAATTTCGTCGTTATCAAAGGCCTGAAAGCATATCGAAACGTCTTGCAATGTTACCATCCCGCTCACAGCTGACCTACTCCTACTTAATGTCACGATAGTGTTCTTAGCGTCATGTAACGACGAAATTGTCGAAACGTCGGGCTAAAAATTCCATCAGCTTCTAGTGTTTGTCTTGACCTTAACCTTCCTTTGAATGGTTGGCATTTGTGTATTTGTTTGTTCTCTAGTAAGACTTTCACATTTGCTCGTATCCTCGACACAAATATCAACATATTAACCGTCAAACTATTATTTGCTTTGGTTCACAGCTTTGGTTTTCTTCGCTTTCCTAGAAAGGGAGCTAGAAAAATGCTTCAGCTCAATGTGGCTCCCATTATATGTGGTCTTTTTCGACGTCTTAGCCTTTTTCTCGCGGTCCACTCTAACCGAATGTATGTCAAACACGAGAGTTTGTAAAAGATGACATAAATGATGAAACTTCAAAAAAGGCAAATCATTCATGATGATTCCCAGGGAATCTCAATGAAATGGGCCGTCTGCTCCTTGTTGAGGTGTGCTAGCCGTAGAGCTCACTAACTCCTTTTGATGATGAGATCTTCCCTTCCATTTAGTGAAATCTATCCTAACCAACAACGTAACGCAACCTGACACAGCTGGAACCTAACACATGCTGCTCTAACGATCGTGACCCATCAGTCTGGCATGAAGTCACCAAAGACTGCTGACTTCTACAGAGTCGGAAATACCATAGTTTCCGAAGTATTTTTTTTGAAAAATGGTTGGATGTTTTCGCATACGATTTGTTGTGCCTGCCGATAGAGTTTCATCGCAAGGCCTGTGCCACTTCCTCTTATATCTCTTTTTTTTGCTAACCGCACGAGCGTTATTGGTGCTCACAGTTGTAGGGCTCTCTTCGTTTTTTCTTGGAGGTAACAAATAGCAACACTCCATTGCTTGGTATCTATTGCGATCTATTGCTCGTGAATAGTGGTAACAGTGTGAGTGTAGTTGCCTGGCCAATCAGTGGTAGCGTTTACTCCTATCTTTTTTGTGTAAGGAACTTTTTTTGTGTGCAACACATCCATTAACGCCCCATGAAACATTCGACTAACACCGTACATTCAGCGATTCCAAGGCCATATAGTTCAGACATTATATGCCATCAAAAAGCGCACAAGCCAAGAAAGGGCCCTCAGTTCACAGTCAGTCTGTAAATGCATACGATACAAGTGTAGCTAGAAACAGTAAATGGTAACTGATAAAGGGGGTAGCGTGGAGCAAATGACCCTTACATGCGCTGGATTCAATCATTTGTTTTCTTTCGCGTTCGTACTTAGTGTCACTAAAGCTCCCATCTAATATATCGATTATTTACTCCTATTGTGAGTGACCACAAAAAATACTTAATGCTGCGCGTCAAGCTCTCGAAAAGTTGTACCTCAAAATTAAAGGACAGGCGAATACAGCGGATCGAGCAGGTACTTGGCATTAGGCTGTTCCAATTTTGTAATAGTTTCCGCAATGACTCGATCTTGGGAGTCTTTTCATATGTTCTCCTGAAGATTGCCATTGTGTGCCACACCCATTTCTTGAAACTTCGGGGTGTTAGTTCAAAATCGCAACAAAAGCCAGCCAACGGCCAATTGTTATAACACTTATCGGAAAACGGCTTTTCTGGTGTATAAGAAGTCAGCAACAAGTGATATAACGTGCAACTTGTCGTATCCTCAGTACATTTCAGTTCAGTGACGGCACCTAGTTCTCCATTTACTTCCTTTTCCCCCACCTACCTTCCACATTACCATCCCATTGTTGTTATGATTCTACGGCTAGTTTTCCTCGCGAACTTCCCCGTCCACGCCTCTCTCATTTCCCTCCCAATCAGCTCCATATTTCGCAGGCGGCTCTTTTTCGATCCTACGCTATTTCGATTTGCATTCAAGGCCTATTCCCCGAAGACAACTTCTTACCCAACGACCAGTTCGCGTGCACAAGTAGATACTGCAATAGAGGCCTGCCACTGTCTTCGCCCAGGTGTCCCGATCCGAAAGTTTTTAAGGTGTAACTACACGAAGTCGTGCTCTACATATACGTATATTGTATGCAACCTTGTCTTGAATTACAGAGATTCTTATAAGTCCTTGCATTAGTCACATTACGAAGCCGAGGAAAGTTGAGCAGATTTATGTGTAAATCACAACATAAAGTGCTTGTAATTGCAAGTTTCAGCGTAAAACAGTAAACTCTGCGACAAGATAGTTCATAGCGCACGGTGCGAATATTGGCATTATATTAGAATGATGTTGTCGCGATATACACAACAACTAAGCCACTCGCGATCGAGTAGAACGCGTCAAAGCAAAAAGCCTGAATGATATGGTCTAACTAATACATGCGGTTTGTTTTGCGGCGCGCACCTATTCGTGTTCTTGCGCGTCCCAGTGCCACATTCTGCTTACTGACCTCCGCTAAGGAAGTCTCTCGGAAGAAATGAATGCAATAGGAAGGTGCAGATGTCGAATGCGTCAATCACATCTCCTGGGCTAAAAATGCAATCAGAAACCCATATCTTATAAGAACCCTGATAGTAATGATGGTCCGCATAATTCTTTTTGTTTTCTTATTTTCAATTAGTGTGGGCGCCGATAAGCCGTTTGCAGTGTGAATCGCCAAGTCAACCAGGCTGCACTATATATTTCTGCTGATCAACGTACAAGTGCCGCATTGGCGCGTCTAAAGCCCGGGTGCTCGGCGCGCTCTCGATCTTCGCTTCACGAAGAAAGAAGGAGATGGACACGCCTCGCGCGCGCGGTGCGGAGCGTACGCTGCGACGCATACCGATTTGGATTGCTGCCCTGGACCGAAGGGGTAGCGTCGTTGTTGGCATGACCTTCAGAATGGCTACCGCAGAAAGCGCGTCGCTGCGAGCGCAATGTACGTGATTGCGGCAGGAACGTCGTAATTCACGCCTTACTTCAGGTGCTCGCTCTGTCCAAACGGCTTATCTCGAGTAGGCTTCTAATCATTCTCCGAAGAGGACTGGGACTGCATTCATGCTGAGTGTCAAAAATTAGTTATCAATACAAAGTTCCATCACGAACTACTGGAGGCGTAGATTTTAGTGAAGGGTTTTCGTACTAATGATTCGTAACCTAATGACACAAAATGTGGAGAAGGAAATTGTAACTAGAAAATAATGGGTAATGCAGTGAACCTAATGCTGCAGTTGGGGCTCCGGAGCCATCCTCAGAATTCTGTTCTTACGAGTCATATGAGTAACACACTCTGTTTTAAAAAGTGTTTATATCTGAACGTGTCATTCTTCCAGAAACACATTCACACCTCTTATCAGGGCGAAGTGTGATAAGTCTAGAGGTTGTGTTAAAGATAACTCACCTCCTTTCTTCCTTGAGCTTTTTTCCTGTTGCTCGCGGAAATATCTTAAACAAATCGTACATATATATTGCAATCTTTGTCAAGAAATCCTTGTGCTGAGCTCTGCCTAAAGCTTTCTGCTTCTATGGCTAATTTCGAAGAAATGATAATAGAATGTGAATCATTCTGCAATAACATGAAAAAAGGTAAATGTGAAAGTGAAGTGGACCAAAGTGAGAAATTTCAAAAAACTGCCAAAGTTTGTAGTTAAGAGTTTCGGACGACGAACATGGGTCAAGTGCCACTTGCTAGATGTGTGACAGAAGAAGGAAGTATGATACACACTGGGCGCAGAGGCAGGAAGGGGGAAGGCAGAACGACATTGTGAGGGTGACAAAGATGCAAGACGCAGATACCACGCATTCGTGACAGTGTGCGTGTATTAATGCACGGGGTGTGCACTCATTGGCGCTGCCTGGTTCTTTTGTTTTCGTCACTTGTTTTGGAGTGCAAGTCTGCAACTGCGGATTTAGCTACTTCATTCACACGCCCGACGATTAATTAAAAGCAGAAACTGCTGTGTGGTATGTGACCATTTGAGGTTGGCAGGCAGGGGTGCGCATTTGTGAACTGTTTAAGACTCTATTGCATTTTTCTCTCAATCGTCGTTCTTCTTATTCCCTGTTTGCGTTGAGATGGATACGTAGACACACATGCTCACTGTACGAAGCCGACATTGCGGCATATATGGCAGCGCCAGATGGTTTGGGGAAGAAGTGGATGGGGTATCACGGAGAATAATATTTGCCTGCTATTTTTAGGTAGCTGCCCTCTGAGGTCCAGCGGTATCTTAGTAGATTGGGTGGTAATCGCTCTTGCTTAGCATGGTTGGAAAGCGTGCACGCGCGCCCAACGCTGACGCGGCTCTGGCACACCATCCTAAATGTCTAGGCTTTTTGAGTGTCACAGAAGGGTTCGGTACCTCCTAGTTGACGTGATTCAAAACTTTTTTATCCTCATGCGTGCAACTGTTTATTCGAAAGTTGACCATCAAAAGACAAGCAAATTATCAATATTGTTTTAGTATGAGCAAGACAGTCGGTGCTGTTCTCAAAGAAATTGTTCCACCAGCTACGAAAACAACATTGAAAGTCACAGTTGTCGGAGTCGGACAAGTTGGAATGGCATGTGCTTACAGCATTCTGCAGCAGGTACTGTTTTACATCCTGAGTTGAAGACTTCCGGAGAGGTGGGTGCAATAAACAGTCACATCAAAGTGGTGATCAATAGCAAAAGTAACATGGCGAAAATTGGACGACGTTCGAGCAGAGTTCAATTATGACATGATCAGTGCTTCAAGTATGAAGCTGAAGTAAACCCCTATATGTAGCGTTCCCCCTATATCGCTCCACTTATTTTAAGCTGTATGAATCCATGGCGAAGAGTGTTTTCGCCAGGTCAAGGAGTTAGAACACGAGTACGTCATAGCTGAAGAGTCAAGAAAGAAGAGGAAGACCATTGCATTCCTTTGATCTCTAAGCGGTGCCTACGCGTTTAATGGACACAGACAGCCTAACAAATAGTTCCTTTGCGCCCTTACTACTCATCTGCGAGCGACACATTGTTCACACAATCTCTCTTCTTTGAAATTTACTTTCTACCTTACTTATCAAGGACATTTGTTACATTGAGCAACATTATATGGGCACGTGCCTAGCTTGGACGAACCGGCCATCAACGGCAAGGAAACGAAACTTACCCACATGTTAGAGTGATGTACGAAAAAGCAGATTGATCATGGAGTGTAGAATAGAATTACCAAAACAAAATCGCACCCCATACCATTTTGAAAAAAACAAATTTCCTGTTTATAGTCATCGTTACAAATAACTCTGATAGCATGTAGAAGAGATTTGGGGAGATTGTTAGTAGAGTGTTCTGCCTTCTTCAAAATTGAGACTTACCTCTCGATGTTTGCGACTCATTCGAAGGCTTGCATCAGGCAACTTTGAAATAAGCCGAAAACTTGCTACGAGGGAAGAGTTCATGGCCCTAGGGTTCAAAGCGCCCAAATGTTGCATTGAGTACTCCTCGGCTTGCTTTCCTAGGGACTGAGGGGGACTGAAAATTGGGAGCTGAGGAGGTTCCTAGGAAGTGAGTCTCAGCCGATAGAGAAACAGAGTTTGGGGACTGTACTACAACCCCAAAAAGTACACCTGAAAAGCCTCTGTATACCTTACAGGTAACTTTGGCTAAAGAAGACTTTTCTCTGTTGAATTCTGGTTTGTGATTTGTGAACTTTGCATAACACACAATATCACAGGGATCAGCGAGTGAATTATGCTTGGTGGATATGGTTGCGGACAAGGTGAAGGGAGAAATGATGGACCTCCAGCATGGTCTTGCATTCGCGGGTCGATGTAATATCCAGGCCAGCACAGGTGAGTGCATAACTTTGCGGTTCTTTCTGAGGTTTTCATAGTCATTGATTCAATCGTGTAAAGAAGGGGCTGTTGCCTCTGTCTTCGTGACGTGTTCAGCCCCTCCTTTCTACCAGGCGTTTCTGCAAATACCGTCGTGTGCGATATAACAAGCACAACGCATATCTTCCATTATTGTTCAAATCGCTGCAACTCTTTGTAACTGACAGGATCTGAACTTAGTCCTAACAAACTTAAAGGAATCTTGCGCGGAAAAATCATGATTCTATTTCAGCCATAAATCACTGGCTTGAGACTCATTATCCACGATAATAGTGAAAAAAAGAACTGAAGTATTGCTTTCGTTTTGATTAGAAATTCGAAAACTCGAAAAGGCTGCTACGCGTTCGAATTGCCCACGGACGTCTTTCACGAATGCTGGCGACGGGGATGCTCAAACTTGGTTCTTGGAGTGCATTCACTAGAAGCTCTTTCTGGCCTTCTGCTTCGTTGCATTCACATCTTACACTTCTACTCCATCCTATTCCATCGATCGATTTGTCTCCACTCTCCGAAATCGCGCGCTTTAACCCGATTCTCTCATTGCGTCGCCTGGTACGTAGCCGGCCAAACGCCGTCTTCTTTCCATGCCTCGCCTGGCTCTGCCTCCTGGTCCTTCGATGGTCCATAACGTGTAGTTTTTGTACGTTTGTTTCTCTTCAGAAACCGAATCTTCATGCGTGAAACTTTGTGTGCTATTTCCAGTGATCACAACTGACATATTCATGTTAGGAAAGAGTGCAAGAATTTTCCGCGCAAGATTCCTTAAGGCCACGTCGATCGTCTCGGTAAAGGTCTTGACGGAAAAGCTCTGATTCTAGGAACAGTCTTGATCACGCAGATCTTGCCAGGCAGAGCGCTTCGTAGCACACACTTATCTCCTAGGCTCTATAAGCAGATAAGTGTGTGCTACGAATTTCTACACCGACGTTCACGGTATGAGAGGCTCTTCGCTGAGCATGGATAAGAACTGCCAAAAAATAAGGAAACTAAAACTGAAAGGCGGATGACCAATCGCAGCCAAATAAAGAAGAAAGAAGTGCATTAATAGTACAGGGGGGGGGGCAAAAAAAGAGTAACTCTGACTTACATTCAAAACAGAATTAATTAAACTTTGCCGGAACCAAACCAAATGAGCTCAATTGCATATTGAAAAGCACATTCTATTCTATCAGAAAAATCACATAGGGGCTTTCTACACCCGACGACATCAGAAGATTTTCCCACGGAAACATGGTTCGCGGTACGAGCTCAACGAGGTCGTCAAGAAACCATAGACGATTACGACGTCTCTGAAACGCTGGTCAAAAGCCATTTTGCATAGTCAGAGCTAGTGTCCCTAAGAAGTCATTCACCAGTTATCCGAGTGAAGAACTTATGTAGCAGCTTCAGAATGGAGCAATTATGGTAGGCCTCCTTGAGCTCGACGGTGATGACAGATGACGATGACGTCACGTTCTGGAGACGGTGAAGCAGCGAAGGTGGGCCTGATTCTGCTTATGGGGGGACATCTAAGGAATATTCGCCGTATAACTCCCAATAACAGCGGCATCCTTTGCGACGAAAAGTTCGATGATATGCGCCATGGGCAAAGTGACTCTTTTTTTGCCCCCCCCCCTATATTTAGTGCGCTTAGCTACAGCAAAAGAAACTATGGAGTAGGGAGTTGAGACCTCCATGAAGCGGCTGATAGGCGGAGTCGAGCTGGACACGTCATTGATGCAGGAGCGTTGTCATTGGTGTAAAAGCGTCAAGGAGCGATCGTTGGGTTTTCACCGCTGACGATTGGCTCTTCAACCAAATTCGTATTACGAACTTCTGCTCTCAAAAACAAAAGTCGTTGAAGAGCTTTTAATGTGCTATTAATGATAATTTTATCACCCACTTGTGAGCATTGTGATGCAGTTTCATGCTATTACAGACTACTCTATCACGGCTGGGTCGAAAATATGCATTATCACAGCCGGGGCTCGTCAAAAGGAAGGAGAGTCGCGGCTTTCGCTGGTGCAGAGAAACGTCGACATTTTCAAAGGAATCGTCCCCAAACTTGTTCAGAATTCTCCAGATACTCTTATCATGGTCGTGTCAAATCCAGGTGATCCCGCGCATTATTATTTCACAAAGTATGAAGAGGCAGCTTCGGCCTTGTCTCTTTCTTTCTGTTCATCTGATCCGAAACATGTGCAGCACAAGGAAACTCGCTGTTAGAACTGGATAAGTAGTTTTAGGGACTTTACCAAAATCTCACTTAAAAAACCCATGCTTCGCTGCTTTTTTCTATTTCGAGCCTCACACAAGCGATGCTTTGATGTAAAACAATTCAATGTCCTTTTTTGGAATGTTTCCGGAGCTAAGCAAAGCTGATTCAGTAAACACCACGTTATGATAGTAGCACATTCGTTGACTCACACGGGTTTTTGCTACCTAAAAGACATTCCGGTCCCCCTCAACACGATGACAATACGGCACCAGTAGGCTGCAAGAAACCAACCGCACGATTATGCCTATCATAACCTAATGTCTCTCACACAGGCGTGGGACGGTGTAGACCCTTGGCGTGTGCTTTACCATATGTACTACTACTACAACATAGAACTTTAACCCGTGTTTGCGACCAGCATACATCATACCACATCTTCCACATGAGCAGACTAGTCTTCCTTGATTTAATTTGGCGTTTCTTTTTTTTTCTATTCCACTAACGGTCGCACGTGCAGTTACTGGTCTCATCGTACATTTTTTTCAATTACGATGCAACGAAAACCCATCAGTACAGGACTAGTGGACTATTGCTCGAGGAATACGCAACCGTTCGAAGCAATTTGCGCACAGCGTCGCTAACGGTTTAAGCAAGGGTAACCCAATCAATAATTCGTGGACTTTTTGTCTCCCGTTGAAAATGGAACAACATGTAGCTAGGCGTTACGAGAGTCGCCCTACTGTGCGAGAGCAGAAGGCACCCTGACAAACCGAAATAAACATGGGTCGCGGTCTCATACATATATTCTGTGAATTCGAACCATGGTCCCTGTAAAGACACCTTGAGTTAGAAATTCGTCATAATCGCTACAAAGTGCCCGATGAAGCACTAATGCAGTGATAACAGTGACGGAGATCGTCGCCGTGTATGAAAGCCGTCATACACCGGCATACGGCATTGCTATCGTAATATCATAGTGTCTAAAGGGTAGCGACTTTGTTTGAGTCCAGGAGTGCAACGACTCCCTAACTTGATCAGAAGATCGTGCTTCAACTCGATACTGCACGCAATTAATTCTCTGAGGCTGACCGCGACCTGTACCTTCAAGACGTTCTGCATTGCTGTGAAATTCTGTAGGGGGTTATTCTTTCTAATGAAAGCCCCATATATACTGGGGAAGACCTTGTAATATGTTTGATGCTGGACCTTACAAAATTCTGCCTAAACCCTAAAATAAACCAAACTATTGTTGACAGACCATAACCTAATTGCATTTCAATGACAAGCTGATTATTTATTTAGTTGATGTTTCCACAACGTTAACCGTGGAATGTGTTTGTTTTGTGTTTTATTTTTGTGTTTTTTTGTTGTCGGGTCTTCCCAAGGAGCGCGTCTTCGGCTCCGGTACAAACCTCGATTCAGCAAGGTATGTACCATGTAAACGATGAAGATGATGGAGGCAGTTTTCAGACGACCTGTAATATTTTACAGATTCCGTTTTATGCTGTCAGAAAAGCTCAAAATCGCTCCATCTTCTTGCCATGGATGAGCATGTAAGAGGCATGTGCTGATTCCAGTGGTATTTTAACATTTGATAAAAACAGAAAGGAACTGTATGATCGTAATCATTTCGCGTTGCAAACTATTACAAACGGAACCAATTTACGTAACCTCCCTTACACAAACTAATTGCCCTCACTGAACTGAACGCGGGCCGCGCGAATATTTCCGTTTACGGATTAGTTCTCTTTTTTTCAAGGCAGACAAAAAAGAGCTTGTTCATGGAGAAGGCTAAGGTGACCAACGGTACAGTGTTGAAGAAAAAACCACCGGAGACGGCTCAAACCTCCAAAGTGTGACGCTAATTCTGGCTCTAAGCTTCAGCCCGATCTAAGCTTTCTCGATTACTTTCATGCCCGGCTAGCTTTCTCGATAAATAACGCCGTCAATGTGAACTTGTTCCTCTGTTTTTCAATGCTATGCAGACGGCCATCCCACCTCAGCAACCTATCACAAGCAATTCCACAACTTGGAAGGAAGAGCTCTCCATGAACGCAGCAAGCGGTCGCGACAAGTGGTGCCTTGACAGGCCATTACGGAACGGCAATAGTTCCATGTTTCTGAAGCTCAAGGCCCTACTCCTTATTTCGATAGACGTTTTTCTTTGGCGGACTTCCTGAGGGTGCCGACCGCCGCGCAGCGAAAGATTTGACCTCGGCGATCTAGCATGGCTCACTCTTGGCGCGGTTGGCGGGGTACGCCCACCGACTATCTAATCACTCGCCGCAGGTCTATACGTGGCGAGTGATTAGATAGCAGAGAGAGCGTAGTGTTGAAGAGGGCACAGCGATGAGAGTCGCATCAATGCGCAAATCAACGGGCAAGGAAGGGTCCCATTTCTCGGGTTTGGGCCGTTTCAATGGTTTCTTCTTCATCCCTGCATATAAAACGTATTCGATCATCGGCTGGCCACGCATGTTATTGTATAGGTCAGTTACAAATTGCCACCACGCTTCTCAATGAAGTAGAATGCGTGGCGCATCCTGAGACCGGATTGATCATGCCGAATGCCTCATGCTTCTATGTATAAATTCTTACACGGGGTCGTTCTAGTCCACGGCCGAGATTTTGTCACCGTGACAAATCCTTTCACTCTTCCTTCTTCACACAGTTCCTTGGAAGGGAAGGAAATTTCGGTGAATGATTCACACCTTCTCTTGCTCAGTTGGGTACTAACACAACTGCGAGTAATGGTTTTAAATTTGGACCAACACTCAGATGTTGCCGGATGTGTTCACAGCACGGCTATACCCGTGTAAGGGGAACCACATAACAAAAGAAGAGCTCAAAAACAAAAAAATGCAGAATGTGGAAGGTCTGTACTGACTCTGCATTTAAGTGGCGGTATGGTCTGGTGTGAATATCGCTGGTGTCTCATTGGCACAGGTTAGCAGATCTCTCGGTTCTAAGGAAGGTGTGGAGACATGGCAGACGGAAATTCATAGAAGAAAGTGATTGATATTCGATTTGTTGATTCCAATAATTGAAACTCGACTTCCCTTAATTGGAGGCCGACGAGATCATAAATTGGAAAGAGTACACGTCGGTGGGCGATTGGGGCCTTTCTGTCGTGAATCGTTACAGGGAATTTTTGGACACTCTCGAAAAGTCTTGTGCCTCTCAACGACGTCAATTGATAACTTACAATATTTTTTTTGGTGGATGATATTTATACGATTAATTTTTCATTGGTTAAGGGGCTCCATGCCATAACAGATGACGTCTATCTATCGGTTCCGTGCGTGGTTGGCACGAACGGCGTCACACATGTAGTAAAACAGAATCTCAATCCGGAGGAAATCGAAAAGCTTCATAAAAGTTGGAAGACCCTATTTGAGGTGCAGAAGCAACTTAAGCTGTAATTTTATGTGCGTTGTTGCTAAATAAAATGCTGTTTTGTTATGTTGTCTCAAATCAGACACCTCTCAGAATGCTGGCAAGGGAGCTTTTAGGAGAGGCATGACCTTCGTAGCCAGAGCCCAACTAGGCCGTCGACCCACCTGTGATGGGTGTCGCGCAAGGGCCGTCGGCTGGCAAAGGACGAGTCGGCAGACAGACATAGCGGTTTAGATATCCTTCTATTATATAAAGCGCTAACTTTGTGTGTCGGTTTGTGTATCTGTATGTGTGTGTGTGTGTGTGTGTGTGTGTGTGTATGTATGTGTGTCCGTCCGCAAAATGAAGTGAGTGAGAAGGAAGCTCATGGGATAAACAAACCGCTAACAAATCGGGTAGCTTACAGGATTTGAGATATCAATGTTTTGTAGCAGGATAGTTGTGATAACACTCTTAGGGCTATATAAACACCTGCTTAGCACACTTCCGTTCATTCCACATGGTGCTGCAGTGGCAGCTGGAGGGCAGTGGAGAGAGGAAGGGAGGATGAGGAAGGGAAGCGAAAAATCTACCGTCATATCATGATTGTGTCCCTTCTACTGTATGAAACACCATTGTGTTGCATACGCGTCACTTCCAGGTGTTGGTGTCACAGGAGGAAGGGACCATAGCGGAGGATAGAAAGCTTGCGCAGGAAAGGAAGGTCCCGGCGGTTGACGGGGGACTAATCTGGTCATGATTATATAGCAGTTGTACTTTACTACGACTCCTTGCGACTCGTCCTTTGCCACATCTGCGTCTCTTCTTTCGTCGCGCGACGGGCCTCTTGGGAGCCACCCCATTGTGATTCTCGAACACCACTGCGCCGCGAGACACACTCGAACTTGAACAGCAATTCCAGATCGAATTCACGGTGTAAAAGCGGTCGATGATGGAATTATGAATGACGAGTTGACTACAAATGAAGAAAGAAACAAAGGAAACCGCCGACTAAGGGACCGGACGAGCTGTCTGCTCGGCCGGCGTTTATTGCTGGCTCTTTCCAGCAAGAGGTGCGGCTGCAATCGCATATACACCATACAAACAGAGACATATGCCAATACAAAAAAGAAAGCCAGGCAATCGCGCAAGGACCACTCAGCCAATCACGTGATCTCTCGCTAGCAAGTGGGTGGAGAAATGGAATAGGCGGAAAAACGGCGTTGGCACATAACCGAATCCCTTCTAGCGGCTTTCCAAGGTGAGTTTTTCGTTCAGCGACACTTCTTATGTTCTTGACTAGGGCTCACGCATCTTGTTCACCCATTGATAGCAAAAGTATGGGTCATTTTCACCCCATTGGTGGTAAAATATGGATCTCGTTGGGCACGGTTGCTCTATGGGAGGGAGGGGTGGGAGACGGTATGGCGAGTGGTTACTCCGCAACATCCCTCCTACCTTCAACCTCAAAAACTAATTTGCGAGCCCAGTTTGGGTACCATGGAGAATGAGTAGCCTGTGCAGATCAGCGCGCACGACATTTATAGGAATTTTTTCGACGCCTTGGAAAAGCTATGCCAAGCTGGTATCTGGAACGAATCCCTTGAAATTTACTTTCATTGATATTTCAAAAAGTCATTTTCCCAGCCAAGACTGCTGGGGTGGGGATAATATTCAGCTCCTGCTTCTGTAGAAGAGAGTCATAATATGTGAAAGAAATGGAGCATGAGCTAGAGCTACGTCTTGTGACTGCGTTGCTCATTGATTCACATTCTTCAGCTTGCACGGGAGTACCACGATTTTCTCTCCAAAGAACCTCATTCTCTTGGTTTGAACCTTTCCTTCACGATAAATTCGATTAAAACGAAAAGAATAAAAAAATGTGCTCGTTACCCGTCAACCAACACCTCTGAGCACCGGAAGTACAAACCTTCGAATTTCCTCGTAAACTGTCACAAAATGATTCCGCGAGAACGCCTCGAACCTTTTCTGTACCAACCATTCTCAGATTCAATGTCGATTTTGCCATCGATTTAAAGTGCTGATTCCACTTCCTACTGCCAAAGAGCATCAAATACTGATCATCGACTTCGTTAATTAGATGTTGACCATAATGAGGGCAGATCACCTGCCATACTCTGTACTTGATCTTGTTTTCCTGTGCACACTTTAGGCCGATGTCAGACTTTGCGAATCGCGCGATTCGCTAGCGTCTGCGGTCGCGTCGCGGCCAGTGAATCACTCAATTGGCTGGTACCGCAACGCGACCGCGGACGCTAGCGAATCGCGCGAATCGCTAGTAGCGAATCGCGCGATTCGCAAAGTCTGACATCGGCTATGCTGCTCCATCTAGTCTGGAGCCACGAAGCTGAAGGGAAGCTTTGCATGATAGAGTAGGCTGAACGAATGTCTCACTTACTCGCTTCGCCAGGTTGGTCCCTCGCCAACCGCCGGGACCTTCTTTCCATGCGTACGCTTTACGTCCTGAAATGACTTATCAAAATCTAAATTGCACCCCAGGCTTGCTGGGGATTGGTTTTCGCCTACCCTCCCTTCAAACACCTCCCACCCCTTCACTGCCCTCCAGCTACCACAGCAGCACCACGTGGAATGGCCGTAAGTGACCTCAGTAGGTGTTTATATACCCGTTGGGATTTATCACAATCATACCACTGCAAAGCATTGAGAGCTCAAGTCCTGCGAGCTACATGATTCTGCCAGCGGTTGTTGATTCCATTATGCCTTATCACTCATTTCCTTTTGCTGACGGGACAGACATACAGGCAGACATACATACAAAACGACACACCAATTAGCGGTTTACTCAAATCAGAAGCATAGATAAAAAAGGCAATAGGCAAATGCGACTGCAATAGGCTTGTGAGCTGATGGCAAATAGCCTTTCTGCCTGATCTTCTTCATGTGATATCCTACATATTGCGGACTCTGACTCCTTCCTTGGATGTGAAATTAGCTTTTGTGTTCCCAAGGCAAAATGTCCCTTGTCAGAGGGTAACTCTGCAGCTGCAATCCAGTTATTTGGAGCGTCTCTTAAGTCGGCGGTCGCGATCGTTGTCGTTTTTCGGGCACATTGAGGATACGCCAGATGTCGCTCACAGAGCACCCGTGGTGACAAAACAACGTAACGGCCTTTTCCAGATGTGCAATCGTGAAATGTGGCATCACAACACTGGTTTCAAAAGCTACAGCTATCCAAATGAGGAACAATTTAGAGATGAGAGGGTGCCAGAGAACAGCCTGACAGAAGAAAAAAAATTTGCAGCCTCAGCAGCTTACTTTGCAAACCCATGCTCTTGTCGGTTGATTTCCGTGCATGGGAATGCCACATCTGTGATTGTCCTCTAGGGCTCTATCTTACAGACCAAAAGGAATCGTTCACACGGCCTCTGCCTGGGTTCCTTTGAGGATCCACGAACAATGAGGAAAACGCCCAATCATTCTATAGTAAGAACAGAGGCAATCAAATTAGTGTTGCAATCGTCTTCCCTACCAGAAGTTTTTCTTTAATTCAGTCTCATACAATGATTGCGTAACCGTCATTTACTCTGGTTTGTGAGAGGTTCTTAACTTTACCGTAGGGGAAATTCCGCGATGAAGTGTTCCCCCATTTTTTGTAGCGCTCAGAAGTCGTCGGCGAAACACTTTCGACCGCTAAGTTTTTTTCTTCCTTGAATTTAATTACAACTTTTCATGGGTACTGCGGTAAAATGTTTGTGAGCTGTTACCTGTTCATGAGTGAAAAAGAACGGCCAAGAAAGGGGTCCCGTTTTGCGTTTTCTTGACGGATTTCTCAGCTTTTTTCGCCACTGGCGTACCATTGAGCACCACCACGTCTCTTTGAACCCTTCTCGAATCTATCGTAATCGCTGCCTTTAAGTTTTCTCACAATACAGTTACAAAGATGAGAGACCTCCGTTATTCGTCTTCATCGGAAAAATTTGTGATCACTGCAGTTTGGCCTGAGTGTGATTGTAAGGTTATGTTTAACTGTATTTTTTGTAACTTTTTGTATCTTTTTTTGGTTGTATTTTCTGCCTTTATTTTGGCTCAATACCACAGTTAAAACATGGTTAGGAGATCACATGTCCACGGGGGTGCTCTTGGAGAAGCCATGCACACAAGGCATCGTTGCTGAATCCACCGCTACTTTGAGAAAACTGTGGTATTCACCTGAGTCCATTCCCTCAAAGGAATCTTCCACGGAAA